AAAAAAAAAAAAAAAAAGCTTTTTGGTGAGGCAATAGTACTGGGTTCCCAGAAAGGTGGCCAAAGCCCCTTTCCTGAAGACATTCAAGGTCAGGCTAGACAGGGCCCTGAGCAATTTGACCCAGCTGTGGGTATCCCTGTTTACTGCAAGGGAGTTGGACATTTTAGGGTCCCTTCTCACTCAGACAATTGTATTTCGGAGGCATGAGTTCTCACATTCCCAAACCAACAACATGGTTGCTAGCTCAGGAGAAATATTCATAATTGTAGGGACGTAGCAGAGGTACAGGATGAATTGCTGTCAACAGCAACACAAGACCCCACTTTTTCTGAGCTAATCAGTTTCTGATGGGTATCATTGCAATTTCTGACACTGCACTGAAATAAAGATCTGCCCGGAGTGCAAAAGAAGTACCAAGGTCTGAACTTACACACTCTGTCTCGCTAACCAGAAACTGATGAAACCTCTCCAGCTGCGGTGACTTACGCAAGATTTTTCTACTCAGGTTGGTGTGCCACGCTAACTCCTCCGGATACCTGCAGGAGGAAAGGGGAAACCAAAGGCAAAAGGCTGCAGACCAGTCTGGCACAGTGGTTGCAGAAGGCCTGATGGGTGCCTCACCCCAACAGCGGGATTACCAGCTCAGCGCCTGCGGCATTTCCACCTTCTGTCCGTCGACCTCCAGGTGCTGCAGCTCCCGGAAGTACTTCTCCTTCAGGCAGTGCAGGATCTCCCTGGCGTGGCTGCAAGGCACGGCGCGGTGTCTCAACGGCCACTCCCGGCGCATCCCGGCCCTCCCCCGGCCCCGCTCACCTCTTATAGCCAGTGATGCGCAGCGTGGCGGGCAGCGGCTCCCGCAGCGCCGCCATGAAGGCGTCCCACTCGCCGTCGGGCACGATGCGCTGCTCCCGGTAGTACCGCTCGAACAGCTCGTTCTCCTTCACGATTTCAGGGTAGCCGCCGGTCCAGCCCTACAACCAGCGCGGCCCCGTCAGCACGCCGGCCCCGCCGCGGCCCATTCCGCTCCCGCCCCGCCTCTCACCGCTTGGTCGTCGCCGCCGCCGCCGCTCCGCTCCCGGCGTTGCTGCGGCAGCAGCTGCCGCCGGCGATCCCGCGCCCGGCGGCCCATAGCGAGCAGGCGCCTGCCGACCCCCGCCGTCGGTGCAGCAGCTCCAGTCCCTCTTAGCGACTGTATGGGGCACCGACCGCACCACGCGCCTCACGTCCACGCGCGCCCGCCAGCAACGCGCGTGCGCCGGCCCGTCCCTACCGCTCCTTCCGGGCTGCACTACCGCCGGCCCGTTTCCGCTCATGGGAACCGCCGCGCCGCCTGCCCCGCCCCCCGGCTCCTCCACCAACCCACGGCCGGCGTGAGGCGTGAGGCTCCGCTCCTCTGCGCCGATTGGTCCGCGACGTTGGTGGGCGTGCCGCGGTCTGCCCGATGGATGGAGGCGCATCAGGACGTCTCGGCTCGACCGGGTGTAGCGCGACATGGCAGGCGGCGGCACGTTCTGCGCGTTTTGGCAGCGGGCAGCGGGCCCGCGGGAGCAGCGCCTGCTGGAGCTGCTCTCCTACGGGCTGGTGGCGCTGGGCGCTGTCTCGGCGCTGCTGTTGCGATTCATCCCCATGCCCTACGGGCGCTACTCGTCGCGGCGCTTCGGCTGGCTGCTGCCTGCCCGGCCCGCCTGGCTGCTGCAGGAGCTGCCCGCGCTCCTCGTCCCGCTCGCTCTGGCTGCCTGCATCCCCGCCTGGCGGTTGCCCAACGCCGTCCTGCTGAGCTGTTTCATCCTGCACTACGTGCACAGGTGCGGGCGGTCGGGGCGGCGCTCCGGGGTGCCGCGCGCTGTCGGATCTCGGCGGTATGGAACGGGGCAGCGATACGATAAGGGCTTTCGGCGCAGTCCTGCTTATAGCTGCTGTGCTGGGCTGGCAGTTTTGCCGGCGCTGCGTGCTTGAGCCGTGCCGTGGGGCTGACGTGGTGGCTCTGCGAACGGGACTGCGCCTCCGCTTCCCGTCCCTCCCTTCGTAAAAGCATGAATGGCTTTGGAATGGGGTCTCGGCGTATCGTTACTGTATAGGAAAGCTGGAATCAGCAGGCAGATGTTGTGTGGCAATATCGTTTTTCTGATTACATAATGCTGGTGGGACTGTTTCGCTAGTGGTGGCGTACTGAGAAATAGCTCTCGTCGGCTTCGGTTTGTCGTAATGTGGTAGGCTCGGCATAATCAGGTCAATTAATGAATTCATTATGCTTTTTCTTTCAAACCACTGGAGTTTTGCTTCTTCTGTAAGTAACTGGCGATAGGATGAGAGGGAATGGCTTCAAGTTGCAAGAGGGGAGGTGCAGGTTGGTTGTTAGGGCAAATTTCTTCTCAGAGCAGTGAGGCGATGGCACGGGCTGCCCGGGGGGGGGGGGCAGGGGTGGAGGAGTTGGTGTCTCTGGAAGTGCTGAAGGAATATGTGGATGTGGCACTGAGGACATGGTGAGGATGGGCTGGCAGTTGGACTGGATGATCTTTGTGGGCTTGTCCAGCCTTAATGGCTGTGACTCTACTGATACTTTGAGACAGGAGTCCTCAAGTAGCTGGCAGACACCTGAAGAACATTCCCACTTCTGTGATCCCAGTCCTGTATTGTTATAGATCCCAGTTAAATCAATACGTGATCAGGAGTTGGCTCGCTGTACGGGGTAGAGCACGTAAACATTCACTTGCTTTTCTTGTCTGGAGTTTGTTTGTTTGCTCATTTAATCCTCCAGGAAGAGCCATTGGGATTTCTTGCCCAAATGGAATGACAGCTGTGGATTTGTCATTTCTGCAACAGTTTTCTTGGGGCATACTGAGACTGTCAGAGTGAAGCAATTAATATATTTCAAGTGACTTTTAGGGCCAGGAGGCAAGAGAGCTCTATTAAGTTACTTTCAACGGGATTCTCTTTCTCTTTTCTTTCAAAACCATGAATATTCCGCACTTGACAATCCATCTTCTGTGAATGATTTCATAGGCCATAAAGATAGAGAAGTTGTCAAAACACCTGCTAGATTATCACATTTTACGATGAAGCAATAGTATAACCTGAGAAGCTAAGCAGGTGATTCACCAGTTGTCCTGTGCTCTGGCTTCCCTGCAGAAGTGCCTACAGTGTGTAAAAGTACACAGGTGTGCCCCTACGCTTGTTGGTGTGTTGTCTGGTATAGCTATAATTATTGTTTTGATTTGTTCTGATGTTTCAGCTCAGCAGTTTGTAATGCACTTGTCCATTTTCTTAGTATCTTACTCACTGTATGGTGCCTTATTCCGTACAGATAAGGATGACAGAGCTGTTTGTTGCAAGATATCTTGGTTAGGTAAAGTATTATCATCTACCACAATGCCTTTCACATTGATGTTGTCACCTGAAAATCCTGATAGGCTTTGCATGTAGGGTTTATGAGTCCGGGTTCGTTTCAGAATGCTTGATTATGCCACTTAAGGTTGAGGAATAAAGCAGGAGAACATTATGTTGTGTTGAACATCATTTGTCTTTGCCACTCCAATCAGAGTAATTGCTTTGGATACAACGCTCAAAATTTCTGCTGTAAGCAGCCGGGGGAGGATTGGTCTCTTAACTCTTGTTAGACAACAAATTGAATATTTAGGTGCTAAAACAAGTGTAACTTTCCACCTGAACTGAGATCAAAGACTGCTGAGAAATTGGCAAGCAGGATATGGTTTATGGATTGCAAGTCTGGACGCTGAAAGCATCCTTTATGTTTATTTATGCAACAGATTTTCTTTCCTTGTTTGTTATAGGGCACTCATATTTCCTTTTCTGATCCGGCAAGGAAAGCCAACACCATTTTTCACCTTCCTACTAGCACTTCTCTTCTGTATATACAATGGATATCTGCAAGGCCGAAGCTTAAGCACCTATGCAGAGTACCCTTCAGACTGGTTAAAACGCCCTTGTTTCATTGCAGGTAAGTTAAAATATCCTATGAGAACATTAAGAGTAGAAATTTCCCTTTATCTTCACAGGTTTTTTTGTTGTTGTTGTTTTTCGTTTGTTTTTTTTAAGCTAAAGTTATAATACCTTCAATCACATTTTAGATCTTTTTTTCACAGCATTCCAAATAAGCTTAGTTATCTTGTTTGCTGTAGTATAGCTGAAAGCTTTCTAATCCTATTTTTTAATTTTATTTTATAGCTGTGAACTGAGAATTTTTTCTCTGGTGTCAGCACTAGGTGAGCTTACTTTGTTCTTTGACACCAAAGTGAATAAGAATATATTATGTCACTATTGAGGCCGTAAGTGGAAGTTGCAGTTCATGGGTTTAGAACAAATCAGAGATTTTCCACATAACATACTGATTAAACTAAAATTCCTTTTTTTTTATTGATGTCACAGATATTGAAGGTTTGTACATGGTAAAAAAAAAAAAAAAAACCAAAAAAAAAAAACAAATTAATGGAGTTATGGCAGGTGATGAATAGCAGCATACCACTTTTAATGTCAAAAGACTCTGTCATAATACTGATGTACTTTGTCAAAGAGCAAAACTGCCCCACAAGGATAAGTTGATGGGGTTGATCATTCATCCCTATGGGGAGGTTAGGTTATAGTTACTCTTGGAGCCAAGCATGTAATTAATAGAGTAAGATGACCTCATTGCAGCCTTCCAGTTCCTAAAGGGAGCCTACAAATAGGAAGGAAGTCAACTCTTTACAAAGACAGATAATGGCAGGACAAGGGGAAATGGTTTTATGTTGAGAGAGGGAAGATTTGGGCTGAATATTGAGGGGAAGTTCTTTACAGAGAGAGTGGTAAGGTGCTGGAATAGGCTGCTCAGAGAGGCTGTGGATGCCCCATCCCTGGAGGTGTTCAAGGCCAGGTTGGATGGGGCCCTGGGCAGCCTGGTCTAGCATTACATGTGGAGATTGGTGGCCCTGCCTGAGGCAGGTGGGTTGGAGCTTGATGATCCTTGAGGTCCCTTCCAACCCTGGTCATTCTATGGTTGAATCACCCTGGTGATTCTGTGTTTGCATGAAGTATTCCTTGCCATATTTTTTCCTAAGTTTCTACTTAGGTAAGTAAGTAAGAAAGTTTACTTTACTTACTTACTTAAAGTTTACTAAGTTTCTTATGTTTCCTAAGCATCTACTTTTACCTACTGTCAAAAATAAAACCGTTTTCCAAGGTAGTCTCTAAAGAAGGGTCTCTATGGTCTGAAGATAAGCCAGAATATTTTCTCTTCTAGAATCAGAGCAAGTTAGTGTTTCTCACAGATTTCTCATGCCTTGTACAGCAAAAATAAGGAAGTTTGGCCTTTACTGCAGAGTTATTGTGGATGGCAACAGAGGATCGCTGTGCTAAATGCTGTAACGACTGCGATTATTCTATTTAAATTTCTTCATCTTGTGAAGATTAGGAAGAAGTACTGTATGTGCTCTAAAAATAGAGAATGTGAGGTACGAGGGAATATCTTCAGTGGGAGGTAGGCACCTAGATGGCTGTATCTGTAACTCCCTCAGTACTTTTGAAACTTCAGTCTCCTTACATTTGGTTCCAAAAAAAAAAAAAAAAATCAAAAGATCAGCTGATCAAAACTTGTAAAGACAAATGCAATACAGAGTATAAAACTTCAGCTTCCGGTATCCTAATCCAGTACCTTAATCAAAAGGTGATCTCAATGCAGTGCTGTAAACATGAGTCATGAGCCATAAATTAATGCCTCCTTACTGCAAGATCATTTAAAATGCTATGTGATAAGCCTTGCTTGATCTTCCTTCTTTGTTTTTTCTTTTTGTTTTTGCTTTTTTAAATGCTCTTTTTTCAAAGATTTTTGAAAGATACAAGTTAATAAATGGAAATATTTAGGTTCAGCTGCCTTCAGTTGTGAACATTTCTGTGTAGGAATTTTGTTTGCAAGTAGTACTAGTTTAGAATATATTTTTATATGTACTTCCTGTACTGCTAGTCATAAGACGTGTTGCTTTAATGACTATAAGAACACCTTTTAAGTCAAAAATATTGCTTTAGATCCCCTGAAAAGGGGGATGATGTGGGAAAAGTGAATATTTTTTATATACTTTGCATTTCATTGTAGTGCTATCCCTCAGTAGATCTTATATGAAGTTATATGAAGAACAAAAATGGCAGTGTGTCAGTATGCAGCAAGACCAATTAAGTTCTGTAACTGGAAGCTGAAATGAGATAAATTTGCTGTGAACACAGAAATTAGGAAAGGTGCGGCTAATTAACCACAGTAGTGGAGGTTTGCAGGGAACTGATGTGTTTTCTATTTGTGCATCCTTACTGAGTGTCTGCTTGCAGGTCTTTAAGAGTTCATTGATTTGGAGCAGTTTTGTAGCTTTTAATGCAGTTCCCATGTTTCTGTGATTTCTGATTTCTGTGAACTGTGTTGGCTTTGTTCAGAGCAGCAAACTAGTCTGTTTTGAAAGAAAACTGGAATGTTCTGCTTCAAATGTGGTACAAGACTTGATAAAACCATTGAAATGCAGAGCAATATGGGAACAACACTATGATCCTTAAGCATATGTCTCATGCCAATAAAGAACTTGTGAAAAGCAGGAGTACTCATGGTACCTTGAAGTGGTTGATGCTATTAACAGGCTCCTATGCACCTGCACGTGTGATCAGTCATCTGCAGACAGTTACCCTTTCACACCAGTTCTTACTAAAGTTGTGTGTACTTCCAGTCAGTAGATCCTTCCTTTCTTGCCTTGCTTTAGCTTCATCAAACTCTTGCGGTGTACCTTATGCTGTTCTAATTATCTAAATCCCCATTCAATTGCTTTCTCATGTTGACAGCTAACTCTGTCAGTCAGGCAACACGTTCTTACTCTGCTCTGTACACAGAGTAGCCATGGAAAGAGCATGGGCAATGCCATTATCTGGGTCCATGGAAGCTGACCTAGCTGTTGTGTCTATACAGCAACTTGCTTTACGTATTCCTGAAACCTGGAATGGGGAGGTGAGTCAGAAGGCACTTACCATGCTGTCACTCTGAATTAGCCTGCAGAGCAGGAGTACATTTTTTTGGAAGATAGATCCTATGTGGGCAGAGGTGATTGGGAAAACAAGAGCAATGAACACGTAGTAAACAGGAAACTGTCCTTCTTATGCACGTGTTTTAGTATTACATGAAGCCTTAATTTCCAGGTTTAATACCGATGGATGAAAAAATCCTTTTGAATCATGGAGTGTCCTGAGTTGGAAGGGACTCATAAGGATCATCAAGTCCAACTCCAATTCCCACGTCATGTGTCTTGAGAGGTCATCTGTATTTCATGATGCATCCTGTAGATCTGAGAACCTACTGATGTACACTGACTCCTTCCTGTTTACCTATCAAGACTTACCTTGGGCAGAAGCCAAGTCATGCAGATCATGGCCCAACTTGTAGAGTGGAGTCTCAAGATTCAGCCATGATGAGGACATGAGAATACGGACAGTGAAGTACAGTGCTCCCAAAAGGCAGCATTCTCAGAATTGTACTTGCATTTAAGAAAAACTAAAGGATTCTAAATTCTAAAATTGAAGATCAGCATGGAACTGATTATAACTTTCAGTATAGAGGTTTTTTCTTGTGTTAATACTGGATTGTATTAGTAGAAATGCGGTTTACACTTGAGTACAATTAATTTGTGTACTATTCAAGAAAATTGATTTCAAATTACCGTATAGATAGAAATAACGATACACGTATCTTACAGTACAAATTTAAAAATCCCTTATTTTTCAAGGTATGTTTTCATTTTCTTTTCTGGCCATTAGCAAGTTAGTGCATAGCCACTAATGCAAGAGAAGCAAACGTTTTTTTATACTTAGGTATAGTAAGAGTTGAACACCCTCTGTCTGGATAGAGATTTATTTTTGAAAGAAAAGACATTCAAATGATATGCTTTCCTAAAAACATTTGAGTTGCTCTGTACTTTTGAATCTTGATATTTGAATTCATCTGTGAATTCCTTGTGTTGATCTAATATATTGGCATCTAATCTATCTTGAGTAATTATGTTGAATTTATAGTTGAAAGGGTTATGATAAATTTTAGTATAAGACATACAGCATTTACATAGCTTGATTACTAATGAAAACTTTCTGCTCTGTGCTATGAGTAAGAGATGTGTGTGTTTACAGGTCTACATTCTGCTTGTAAGCAGAATGAAACAAGCTAATCAAGCAATATTTTAAACTTACCGAGGTAAATATGGAAAGGACTTTCACACAGCAACTTTAGTTTCTCTTTAGAGCAGTCAAATCTTTCTTCATAATCAACATGGAAGCAGGCAGCAGGCAACAACGGAAAAGAAAGCTGGCAATCAAATTCCTTTGGTTTTCTGTGTATTGAAAGAGAATAGTCTGAAAGACTTAACGTGTTACCTTTACACTCAAAAATTACATCTGGAGTGTGAAGTGACTTGGCTCAGAAGCTCCAAAAGTAATGCCTCTTACTTATTTCCATGGAAATACAACAGATACAAAAATACCACTTAATCAAACAGATTCTCAACTGCGAAACATTATTTTGCAACCCAGTCACCACCATTAGTTGTGCATTTTTTTTGCCAGCAGTCAACAAGGGCTTGCATGCCATGCTTTTAACAGTCTACCCTAGCAGAGGTAACCTGTCACCCTTGCTGAGATGCACCACCCATCCCTCACTGTGAACACATCCACTGTTTGGTCTCCAGGAACATTCAGCAAGTGCAGATGAATGTCAACGGGTGCAATTTTTTCTGCATGGAGGAATACATTGACAAACTTCTGCACAGTAGGCACTCCCATGTCAGACACCATTCTGTAAGACTGCCCCTCTGCTGCCATCTGTCGCATGACAACAAAATGTAATGGGATATTGAGGGGAAAGTTCAGTCTCTACTGCTATACCATCATCTCTCTGATGTCATGGACCAACATAATAAAAAGGCATTTCTGTCAGAGCAGCCCTTGTGCTTGATCCAAATAAAATTCAGTGTTTCTGCAGGTGGGTTCAATTCAATTGGCCTGTGTGGAAAAACTTGAATCTTGTCTATTCCTAGCAATTAAGGAATACTTTTATCAAAGATGACATATAGCCAGAAATTTAAACAGAAAGGTGAAAACTGTGAATTTCAATCCTGGATTTTTTTGGTATATCATGTGCTTTATTGCAACAAAACCTGAGGATGCAGAACACTGTAACCTTTATACTACAGTTTTTATTTCTATGAAACCTTGGATTAAGTGGGTAAGCCATCCTGCTGAGTGACACAAGATAACAGTAAATAAGATGCATCAAGCCTAGAGTTTTCTTGGTTTTCTCAAAATGTGTTCTTGCATTAGGGCCAGAAGTTCTGAATCTGAGGGATCAGCATTCATGCTTGTTACTGGCAACTGTGCTCCACAAGGTAACAGGAGGAATGGTTCTGTATTTTAGTCAACAAAGACAAGTTGATTGGTGCCTGTTTGCAGCTAAGGCTGGAAGAGAGGCAATGTCTTTCTGGTTAATATGAAGTTCATTATGCAATCCTAAGATGATCAGAATGTAACTTTCCCAGAACTTTGTTTAGATACTGCATAGAAAGGTCTGGTCTGACTGTACGTGTTTCCTTTCCGTTCAAAGCAGCGTGCCATAAGATATAGATGGATAGCTTCTCAGAACAGTTCTCACTGGACTTCATAGGCCTGCTGTTAAGTTAGAACTGGGATAGGATACATCTCACTTTGCTCATGTTTCAAATAATGTTAAGGGATGCTTGTTTCAAGCTGGCTTTCAAAAGATTTACAGCTTAATTTGTGGTTACAAATGAAACTTCACAGAAACAGTGTATTCCTGAGAAAGCTGCTAACAGCTTCTGTTCCCCAGTAGCAGCAGTGATAGCAGCCGGTTAATTATTGTTGATATTGAATTAAAATGTTGGCAGATCTTTTAATGAATGGCATGTGCTTAAAGCAAGCACAAACAAATGGGTCTTTGATCTTGCAAAATGAATTCCAACAGCTGTGTGAAGGCAAGCATTTGCCATCATGGAGGCCTTTGAGGTTTGTGGAGATTGATTTATCAGACCAGATACATTGATAAGATTGACACACTAACAACTTTAAAAAATAAATTAAAAAGTTTTTGTTTTTTTTTCCTGCAGTTATATGCTTTGACTGATGTAAGGTGTTGTTCATGGTTTTCTTTTTCTTAATGACAAGCCTGTCAGACTCCTCAGTTAGTTTCTGTTCAAATAGTTGAACTCCCAAATGACTTAGAGCTGTTAAATGTACCCTTCTAATTAGGTTAATGCATTTTTTTTACTGTATACCAACTATCTTTATCCCTTTTGCTAGTATTACCAAACACACACTCACAGCAAGTCATATATGGGGAAAAAAAAATCCCAATTAAGTGCTAACCTAAGTATGCTTTTTCCTGTTTTTCCTGTCTTGTAGAAGTTAGACCGCAACTGAAGCAACAAGCTACTCTGATATCAGTTATCTTTGTTCTGTGTATCTTTGAATGTGACAGTATTAAGTTGTAGAATTATCAAATTTGTAGAGAGTTTTGATCCTTTGCCTCTCTCAGCTCTTTATTTCACCTTCACAATAAGTCACAGAATATCCTGAGTTGGAAGGACCACACAACAACCATTGAGTCCAACTTGTTCTACATGGGACCACTTAAAAGCCACAACCTTTGTCTGAGAACATTGTCTAATAAATAGCTTTTGAACTCCAGAAGCATGGGGCTGTGACTAGTGCCCTGGTGAGCTCATTCCAGTGCTCAACCACTTTCTGGTGAAGAACCTGAGGAAGCTGTAGGTCTCCATGAGGCCTTCCCTCAGCCTCCTCTTCTCTGGCCTGTAAAAAAAAAACAAACCAACAAAACGGAAGAAAAACAACACCAAAGCAAGGGACTGCAGCTTACCTCCCCATCTCTGTAGCCCTCCTTTGGATGCTCTCTAATAGCTTTATGTCCTTCCTATATTGTGATGCCTGGAACTGCCCACAGTTTTATGCAAATTGGGTCTTAGCATTCATTCTTTAGTTCCAGTAATCTTAGAATAAATTTCTGGTTTAGATTGCAGAGAAATCTATTACAACCTGATACTGAATTTGAGAAATTACAGCAGAAATTTTTCCATAATATTAAACTACATGGTTTCTTTTCTTTTTCTTTTTCTTTTTTTTCCCCCTTTTATTTGGTGAATAATTTCAAGCTAAGAGTTTGTTAATGCTCAGCAAGACTAGGTTTACCAAGTTCCTACCCTAAACTTCTAGGAGTATGATGATATTATCTTTGTCAGTCTTGCACGAGAATCTACTGTATTTTTTCATTCCTATTAATTACAAAACAGTCTGCTGCAGGAACTTTGGCATATTGTCATTTAAAAAGAAGTCTGAGGTGTGTCGTTTTACATAGGAATGAGAATGACTAGTTTTCCATGTTGTTTAAAATTTTGATGTGTTTGGTTTTTGATATTGAAGTTAGAAGATATACATAGTACATATGTGTATGTATGCATGCATGCACATAAATATGTGCTTATTTTTGTCCATCACCCAAGAGTAACACTTCATACATAAAATAATGTTTCCGTCCAGAGAAATTGCTACAAGCCTTATTTACCTGAGAGCTCACTGTGAAACTGGGATTGTCCATGGAGTCACTAGAACCGCTTAGAGTGCTTTACATTACTATATTATGACTGCTTTGAGGTAACATGCCTAATATGTTACCTGTTACTTTGTTTTCTGATTATTTTCACTCAGTGTACTATAGACTAATATTCTGAATATTTCTTTTCAGGTTTCATGGGGTGGCTGATCGGCATGGCAATCAATATTCATTCTGATCATATCCTCAGAAATCTGAGAAAACCTGGAGAAACTGGTTACAAGATACCAAGAGGTAATCAATAATCTGTATAGCATTTTTCAGGAGGAGTTCTGGGGCTGTTCAACCTGAAAAAGAAAATACTTATGATGATCTTATCAACAGATGTAAATATCTGATGAGAGGCAGTGAAGATAAAGAAGCTGGGTTCTTTTTAGTGGTGTCTGCTGACAGGCAAAAAGGCAACAGACACAGAAGAAACACATAAAATCCTATATGAACACACAATTCTATTTATTTCTAAGTGTGAGGGTAGTCAAAGAATATAGGGTAGATTGCCCAGAGAGACTCTGCAGTTTCCATCTTTGGAGATGCTGAAAACCTGACTGGACATTTTTCTGGGCTTCCAGCTGTAGTTGACCCTGCTTGAACAGGGTGGAGTTGCACTAGGTGACCTCAAGAAGAATCTTCAAACATAAATAGATATTCCAATCTGTAAATGTGACCTTCTAAAGCTTGGTATTATCTTTTTAGAGGTAATAAGTTATGATTTGAGAAGAAACTTGTAAAAGCAGTTTGTCCACCTTAGGAAATGGTTTCTTAGAGTTCATATTATTTTTTCCACCAAGAAGATAGTTTTATCTTTACATGGGCACTTGGATTTGCATCTACTGCAAATGAATACTACTATGCTGTGAAATATTCAGAAGGAAAAAAGATGTTCTTTGCTGCTTGATCAAGAGGAGTTGTTTTTTTTAATATTACTTATCCAAATTAAGCACTGGAATTCTGCTTTTGTTTTGTCACAAAAGCAAAGTAATTAAAGCAAGGTCAAAACATGTCCTTTACTACAGTTTGCAAATATTTGTTTGGTTGGTTCCATTGGCATGGTGCTTACTGTGATGTCAGTTTGTATGTTAACTTTGGAGTTGGGGTGAAAGTTCTTATTTTATAACTCTCCCATCGGGTGAGTACTGACTGTTTATGCCTAATTGGCTGTAAAATACACCTAACACAAACTGATAATTTTTGTTTTGTGAGGGTCAGTGTTGAAGTACTTGTAGTTAAGATCTTTAAGTCTGACAGGATGCAAGAACAAAAGGGCAACACATCTTAAACTAGAGGACAAGTTTGAAACTTGAATTTTGAATAATATTTTTCATCATTTACCTGAGATGCGTAATTTCTTCAATTTATTGAAGTATTGTATGCTAAAGAAGTATAGGGATATTTTATGAGACTATTTAAAAGGGATTGCTTTTTAATTTTTGTTTATTTAAAATAAAAAGTTCAGTTCATGGTCAATGCCAGCTTGATGTCACTGTCACTGATTTAAGGAGGCATGAAGTCACTTCTATTACTAAGTATATTGGCTTTTTTTTTCCCCTGTGATTTCTAAAGGATAAATGGAGCTGGGTAAGAATGAAGACTGAAACAATCCTATATAAGACAGCCTGAACTGCAAAACGCTGTTTCTACTGCTTTAAAAAATATACGAAGAGACACTGATGATATGGGTGGTCTTAGACTTGCAGTGAAAGTACTATCTAAGATCTCCTTGATTAATGTGCTTTTAAAGTAATCCTGCCCTTTCTGCCTTCAGGAGGAATGTTTGAATATGTCAGCGGAGCCAACTTCTTCGGAGAGATCCTGGAATGGTTTGGATTTGCTCTTGCCTGCTGCACTATTGAAAGCCTTGCATTTGCACTGTGTACGCTTTTCATTTTGGGTTCAAGGGCAAAGCAACACCACCAGTAAGTGTTTGTGTCTTATAATTTCTGCTGTTTCACACTTCATTTCCATTTCATAAATTATACCACAGAGATGTTGCAGAACAAGTCTAGTGAAAAGCTGTTACTGCTGTGGAGAATGAGAGAATATTCTGAGTAGTATTAAACGCGACAAGATTTCAGTAGGGTAGTGAAGCATAAGCACACAACATACAATGAGGTGGTCATGGCTATTCATTAAATGAATGTAGTTCATTCTGGACCTGTGAAGACCTACTCTGACCTGCTCATAACCTCACTGCTATATCAGGTTGTCCAGGGCTTCATACATTTGAGTTCAGAGTTCCTCTGAGGACAAAGATTCCAGCACCTCTGAGGAAAAATATCTTGTTTGAGAGCTTTGCCGTTCACATAGGGAATAATTCTTTTTCCTTATGTCTGGCTGGAATTTTCTGTGGTGCAACTTTTATCCCTGTCTCTTGACCACTTTCTGCACACCTCCAGGAGGGATATGGCTCTGTCTTCTCTCTAATATCTCTGTGGATAGTGGATGACTGCAATTAAATGCTCCACTTAAACTTCTTTCCTCCAACTTGAGCAAATCTAGTTAATTCAACCCTTCCTTGCGTATTGAATGATCCAGCTACACAGCTGTCTAGATGACCATCTGCTGAACTCTTCCTGAGTTTTTGGGCATACTGAAAGCCTAAAATTGGATGCAGTAATCTAGATATGGTTTATTGACTGTTGAATAGTTGTGAATAAGCATTTGCCTTAACTTGGGACGCTGTACATGTTAAAGCACTTCAGTATGCAGCTAGCTGTTGTCACTGCAAGGATCCATCATGCTGAACTTGATGTTCAACCTGTCCACCAGAATTTCTTTCCCCTTTTGTGCAGAGCTGGTACTCAACTAGTTAGTCTCTAGTCTGCAGTTTGGCATGAGGCCATTGCATCCCAGCTGCAAGGAATTGCATTTTCTTTGTGGTTTTCGCTCCATTATCTTAGGTCTCCTGTTCCAGTACTTGTATGCAGAAATAACCCTCTGTCCTCTTCCTCTGCAGCCCAGGTGGTGAGGAAGGAACCAATCAGGTTGTTCAGTCTTTCCTCATCTATTATGTTCTTTGGACTCAAATTCCATGGTTTCTTTCTGTGTATCTTAAGCCTTGGTAAAACTCTTTCATGTTTTTGTAATTAGAGTGTTATGAAAAACCCTAAAGGTTGTTAAAGGTATTAATTTGCATTAAGGGAAGCAATGGTTTTTTTTTAATAAAAGGAGTGAAGTGGGGAAAAAGCAAAAGCAAAAATAGCAAATCTAAGCAAGTTTCAATTTTACAAACTTGGAATAAATTACTGAAAAGTAATGTATGATATAATAGCATAATGTTGGTATCACACAACTGCAAGTAATCATGCAATGCATGCTTTCTATAGAAGTCACAGAACTTCCTCTTGTGTGTCACTAGGCAAACAGGCAACGTGCATTATTCAGTGTTGAAACTGTAAGCCAGCAACAACATCAAAATTAGTTGTGCATTATTGTGAGAGTTTCGTTCTCTGCTTATTCCAACTTCAGTCTTTCAGTTAATTTCTGTTAATGTGAACACTTGCAACTTTGAGGAGCTAGATTATTTAACTTTTTTCTATATTAGAGAAGCAGAATAAGTACTAAACAGGAGTAAATGTGTTTGCCATAAAGTGATGTAATAGCATCTATTAGTGTAATGTGGTTTTCTTGTTTGGTTGGTCAGTTGTTTTTTTTTGGTTTGTTTTTTTTTTGTAATTGTCTGGATGTGAAAATAGTGATAGTTGTTGAAGGGAACTAGTAAAGCTACTGCAGTGTTTGACTGTGTGAACTCTGACTGGAATTGAGGGTTTTTCTATCCAGAACCAGGTGTAAAGTATCATGCTTGCTTATGTAGTCATTATAAAATTTGACTTATTGCCTTGGATATTATTTTTTCCTCTGCTTCTAAAATACAAATAGGAATCATTGCAATATACATTTTATTACAATAGGCCATTCCTTCCCTGGCTGCTCTCATTGCACTACTAGTTTGATTTCTCACTGTTGGAAGTGGTAGCTTTGTTTTGTTGTACCTCAAAATCAGATTTCCTTAGGGTGTGTATGGTAAATAGCAGTTTTCTATCCAGAGTAGGTTTTAAAGACATTATTTTCTGGCTTGGATTTGAAAAATACATATTGCTTAAATTGTGTTGTGCAGTTACTTAATTTCCTTGAAAGTGTTTTGAAGATGCAATACTCAACAGATTTGGACTTTTTTTTTTTTCAGATGGTACCTTGAGAAATTTGAAGACTACCCAAAGAATAGAAAAATTGTGATTCCATTTGTCTATTAGTTTATTACCTAAATACCATCTGGTTCTGACGGTAGCAGCATTTTTAAATGGTTACTTCTTGGAACAAGTAACACTTTTCATGAGTGTTACCCAGCTAATGTATTCTCATCACTGTGACAAAGCCTTTGTATCAGTGCTGTTTGTTACTGCTTTTCCTTGTAATGAAGACCCCAAACTCAGCGGGCATGGTGAACAGGAACAGAAGTGCTTTCGCAGTGGCACATCACCACCGTGAGTACATAAGACAAGACATCTGAATTCATACCATGGAAACTGTTGTACAGGATTTCTGATGCTTCAGTTTCAGCCTATAGTTTTCTGGTGTTCTCATCTGAGGATTGTGCTATGACACAGTCACCCTCAGTGTACAATCTGGCTGCTGTGTTCAGTTTTCTCCTTGTCTACATACACCAGTGGGATTGATTTGATCGCCTTTCTTATTCTTTCTTCCCTTTGCCCTCCATTTCAGGAGATCAGATGCAGACCAAAGACATTAAATGAATACAGATACTGTGAGATGAGAGATGTTCTTCATCTCCTCTGCACTCCTGTGCAGATATGAACAAAACAGAGATAAAACTTAATGCTGTTTACATTGATAGCCATAGCAGTGCCTTTCCCAAGTAACTGATTGATTTTAAACATCTACCTCTCAAATTTCATAGCCATCTCAAATGATACTCAACATGTGTTTTCTGCTCAATATTATTTTAGAGGGCATTATTTATTAGGGATAAATGATTCTTTTTAATATTCTGTAGATTTTGCTTATTATGTAGTTTTGTTTTTATTTTTTTTATAAAAGCCTTTTCTTATTGATAGTGAGCTAAATTATTTTGTATTTTAAAAAAATGGAAAATCATAGGGCTTGTTTCTTGTTTTATCAATATTAGTTCTTGCTCTGATATATTTTTATTCAAAAGGACTCTGGTGGTATTTCAAAGACACGGTGGGATCTCAGGCATACTGACTCTTGAATTTGCACATATTTGTGTCCTTTGCATATTTGTGATATTCAGTAACTTTTTAGAATTGGAGAAAAGTCAGTGTTTCTGCAGAAACCTTAAGGTGGGAAAAAAAAAAAAAAAAGCTCTCTGCACACGTACTTGGAAAATCTTTCTTCAGGACAAATTAGTAATATAATTTCACTAAACAGTGAGTTTTCCAGTATTCCATCAAGCTTTGTTCAGAGCTCAAAATTATTATTAATATTATTATTATTATTATTTTGCATGAATTACTCTACTACCAGAGAAATCAAAGTAATAAAAGGGAAGAACTTTTACCTTAATTTTTTTTAGATTAGATGTATATATATTTTAAATATATCCAGGAAATAGGTGGTGAAAAAGTGCTTTGCTACCCAAACTTCTGCTTAACAGTGGTTTCTTCCTGCTCTCCTTGGCACAGTATTCAGTGCACTGAAGCCATGGCTATCATTATGGGTCTATCAAGGGTATAAAGAAGTGTAGCACATTCTATTGTTATTGCCTGAAATAGTCAGAGAAAAGAGGGGAGCAAAACTGTCATTCATGTTGCAATGATAATCTGCCAGCAGTGAAGCCATCAGACTGTCAGCTGCTCCTCATAGTGAATGTGACCAGTAATGCTCTCTCCCAACATCCAGGAAGCTCAGCTGAGGGAGAATCTAGGAATACCCATTCCTTTGAAGCCAGTATCTGTTGTGCACGGCTTGATTCTCAAATTGTTTAATCTCTTTTTTAAAAAATGTTTACACCTTTTTTTTTTTTTTTTGATCACACTGTAATATCACAAGTGATCCTAGCTGTTTTGAGCACTTGAAGCATAGTCTGAAGAGAATTGTAGAGACTGTCTTATATACCCAGGTATTTGTAAGCCCTATTGCATCCTTGTGGCAGTTCTTAAATATGGGTATCCAAAAATTCCAGCTATCAGTATCCCTTTTAGAAGAGCAAAATGCATCAACATCTAATCTAAGTGTTTAAGTACTTGCGTGGTTTACAGTGAACTAATATTTGTATTTTTGGGTTTAGTTAAAAAAGCACTAATGCTTTTTTACAGACAGTAACAAACAGCCAGTAAAAAATGACTTGGCTACAGCAACTTAATCTGTAATCCCTTCTTGTTTACTCCTTCTAATGAAAAGGTGAAGATTCAAGAGACGTGTAACTATTTATAGGTGGTAGCCTTCTATTGTAGTTCACAGGAAATTTCTACTGATGCATCAATTTTGCTCTGATTCTATGCTGCTAAATATTTATACTGATTAAAAGTTAAGCTTTTATGGTTTGCCTGTAGCAGAGTAGAGATCTGAGACACATGTTCCTCCGAGGAGATTACTGGTGTTCTAGTTAACTGGAATATTAAAATCAAAATGTAAACAAAGAACAATCTTCTGCTTTTTTAATGTTCTACTTACACTGCTGCAACCTGCCACAACTGAAGTACAGAATTGTATTTGAGGCAGTTTGTTCTCACATACCATACAATACAGCAAGGTGACCACAACTGGTGAAAATTATACGATCATTCTGGGCAAATTCTAGACCTTTTATTTGAATGCTGCTCCTTTTTTGTTTGTAATACTTCATTTGTACTCTCCTCCCATTTCAGGATCTTTGCCCGAATTTGTCTATTTGTGGGAAAATACGATATTGAGAGGTCTTTCTTGAAAGAAAACAGTGTAAAAATGAATTCTGGTTTGCTGTTTCCAGGAGGAAATGTGTATGCTCTCTGTGAGGTAGTAAATAGCTATCATAATCTCTAACAGACATCTCTACTCACATTACCTGCATCTTTCCCAGAGAAGATCCCTACTCATAAAAACAGTTTGTGGCATCTGGCTTGATTACTTTACTGTTAGCAGTCCTTGTTTTAACTTGTGGAGGGTGGCCAAGACTTTTGTACCTGTGAGTTCATTGTCCCAAATAAGATCTTGAGAACTGTGGTAGTAGTAAAGTTGTATTGAAATAACTGCTATGTGAACTGGACCATATACATTCAAAAGAAAAACAAAACAAAACTTAAAAAAAAAAACAAAAAACAAACCATGTAGAAATCACAAGACAAATTTCTATATATAGGAAAACTTATATAAAACAATGTATGTAACTGATGTTCTATAGTTGCATATGGCAGTGCTTCCCACCACCAAAATTTAGTTTACTACAGGTGAGCAAGAACTGGATGCCATGTGGAGCCAGGACTTACACTGCTATGGTGGTGTCTCTGAAAGGAAACCCAAATTCCTGCTGCTCTCAGCTTTTCTTTGTAGCTATTTGCTCCTGATGAAACAAGAGTTTATGCAAGTTTTTAAAAATAAAATTGTGCAATAAAATAATTGTATTGCACTTGTGGGCAAAAGTCTGTCAAGTTTCAGACCCTCTGTCTGAAAAGGATAGCTGGGCTTCGGAGCATGCAGAGCAGCCGATAGTCTGTAGGTAATATGAAGTCTGTGTACCACAGCAATAATCCTGCTAATTTTCCTGAATGTTTTTATTTCATATACATACCAAAAGAGATTTAAAAAAAAGAAAAGAAAAAAGAGAGAGAAACAGTGCAGATTACAAACTGTTTTTTATTTTCCATCAAGCAATAATGTCATCTTCCAGCATGTGGTGCCTGTGTTAATACAGTGCTAACTTGAAACATAAACTGCATTATCTAATTTCAGTTAAATGTGAAATCCAGTTAAATACTCTTCTGAGTTTCTTTATCAGGGCAGTGCACAGATGTGGATTAACTGGCTACCTATTGCACCACAGCTCCCAGTTCCCAGTAAGCACTGCCTAGAGTAAATACTGCAAGTCACAGTCGCACCTGTGAGGACAGTCTTCTTCTCTAGGTCAGAGTTTCTGCCATGTGTGGACTACCAAGGCAGACAAGAACAGGTCCCAGAACAAGCTCCAGCATGTCAGCAGTAGAGGGCTTTGTCAGTTGTTCAATTCTGCTAAATGCTATCAGTTTTTTTATTTTGCAATGAGAAGTGTCAAGGAAGAAAACAAAGTCTGTGATGCTCCTGCTCTGCCCAGTTGGTTGAGTGAGTTGGAGAGGCTGGAAGGGAAGGCTGTTTTGTGGAACTTCATTTTGAGTATTAATGAGAAATAACAATGATGAAAGCCAGAGACAAAAGCTATTCCTGACTTGGCTCTGCCATTTAGAGCATTTTATCAGCTCCCAGGAAGACATACATCTTTGTGTGTTCCTGTTTTTGCCTTAATGTGTCAGTAAGTGCAAGGAGCTTGGCAGAAGTGGTACCTTGATCTCCATACACTGGAGTTGAACGGGGAACAAAAGAGGCTTTAAACACTACTCAGATAAGCTTCCTATGCCACACTGACTTTAGGGAGGTGAACACCTTCCCCACCGTTCCTGTTTAGAAGCTGAGTATTTACTAAAGCAGTTAATTTTGTCAGCTGGGTGGCCAGGCCCACCGGACAGTAGCCAGCTCAATATCCAACTGCTGGATGGTTCCCACACTGTTCAGTATTTTCAATAATGACCTGAATGGTGAAGAACAGTGCGACTCCCAGCAGATCTGCAGATGAAGCAACCTATGAGAGAGTGGCTGAAATGACAAACAGCAGAGCTCCAAGTCAGGGAGATCTTGAGAAGCCTGAGAACTGGGAAACAGAAACCTTGTGCAGACCAGGAAGAAGAAATGTACAGTCCTGCATGGGATAGAGGATAACTGCATGCAACATCAGTATCAATAGATCAACATCTATGAATGTATGATGAAGCATGAGCATAACAGACTTTTATATGCCAGGGGTTGCCAAATTCAGTTATCCAGCAGAGGTAAGGTTGCTACAGCTCCACAGCCTCAGGTCCAACCAGTAGCAGCTCTGAGCTCATGTTCCTGGTAAGCGCATGCACAAACAGGCAACTGTGACACATATATACACACATAGCTGGCCACCTCAGACAGCGTAAACAGGCACACTCAGCTCAGCTGCAAACACAAACAGCACCAACAGCCTCATCCTACTCCCCCATTTTGGTTGCTCAGGATGAAGGTCTGTTAGTAGGAAATATAGAATCATGGAATCACTCAGGTTGGAAAAGACCTTAAATATCATCGAGTCCAACCACAACTTAACCATACTACCGTAACTCTAACAACTCTCCACTAAATCATGCATATATATGCAATATATACATTTCTATGTACAAGGTGTGTACCCGCAGCAGCTGGACCCAAGCACTTAACCTGCCCAGTGGCTGCCCTTGGATTCCACTCTCCCTAACTGCTGGCACCTATGTACCAGCACCTGAGTTCATGTCCCTTGCTCACAGTCACACACACACACAGACATACTATGAACTCCCAACTAACTATGCTTAGACATAGGTGACATTAAACACAATAGCCATACCGTAGATTCATGTTCTCCCCAGCAGCTGGTAACTGGGCGTACAAAAGAGGCCTGCAGTTCTACCCCAGCTGCAGGGATATTCTTTGCTCAGATTTTCTCTAAACAGCTTCATTTAAAAAATTAGTGTTTTGCTCATATATAGGATTAATTGTTAAGAAATAGTCAATTTATGGACAAGCTAATGAACCAATCACAAGAGGGGCTGTTAGATAGCAGATATGGAAAATCACTCACTGTGCTTGGTCATCTTGAATGTTCTGTTTCTTGACAAATCTAATCGTATATTTTTGCCCCATGCTGGTTTCCTTTTAGCAAAATATATTTTTCTTAGTGATCTGAAACAATGATGTAAACACAAATCTACACTTCACAGTCATCTTCACAGACATAATGATTGCCTGATGTTCACACAAGGAATTTCACTTCTCTGTCAACCTATTGGAAGTGAAGTAGTCGTGCTTAAAAATAACTATGATGCTGACTGGCACATGCATGTGCAGGCTGAGCAAATTGGCCTTCCCATCCAGACAGAAATGCAAATGAGAGAGGCTAGCTGATAAAAACAAACTTATGTGAACCACCCAAATGCTTTCTCAATATTGGAAGTAATCAATCGTGGAATGGCTTGGGTTGGAAAGGGAAAAAAATACAAAACATAGCACAGCTCTCATTGTTCATAGAAGCTGATTTCCATAATGCTGTATTTTTTATCCTGTGAGCATACAAGGATTTGTGCTTCCATGGTCATTTTGAATGGTAGCCTTTGAATGAGCTTTCATTTTAAATAAACATTTGGTTAAGGGCTCTCCAACAAGAATTTGGAATGGATGTTAGTGGGGTCTCCAGGTAATTCTGGTCTCTGGGAATAAGGTCTCTTACCTCTGTTAACCTTCATGCACATTCCTCCAGATAAACATACTTCCTTTTTCAACTTTCTGCTCTAGCAGCAAGGCCAGCTGTTTGGCAGCAAGGCTGGGCACTCAGCCAGAGTCCTACTTTATCTAGAAGGGATTTTATCTTTCCTACTGTATACTGTAAATATTTTGTGATAGCAGATGTGATGTGACACTTTCCTGGGCGATTGATGAGATTTGCCCTGAGACATCACAGACCATCTCTTCACTCTTGTGGGTAACTGCAGAGGTAATTTCTATGAGACCCAAACATTTTGTCCATAATTCTTTCTGGGTTCCATGTGGCCAAAATGAGCATGATAGTTTGAATCAGGTCCAACAAACAATAACATCATGCAGTGCAAAGTACAATAAATTGTTCTTAGCAGCTGTGTGGAAAGCTGAGGCAGTGTTGCCTATCCTGTAGATGATACAAACTACACTGGAGTGCCTAGAAAAGCACTTGTACCTGTCTGATAGCCCAGTGCCTGAGCCACCACTAGCAACAAAGGATTATCTCCAGATCAGCACCAAGCAATTGTACTCTTACGGACAGACTAAGTGTACATTATGCACTATCATACTGTTGTCAACAGGAAAGATCTGCACTCAGAGCAGGGAAGAATTTCCCTTGCCACAGAGATGCAGAAAATAGAGTGCAGCGGTAAGAAATACAGAGCAAAAGATTAAAAAGGTGGCTTCCACGTTCTCAGGACAGCAGTTGTACACATATCCTCATCATTGTTGCTCTCTCCATTCCTAAAAGAAACAATGCAAGGGATGATTCTGAAGTTGTCTGCACTCCACAGCCAAGTCAGCTGTGGATTTCTCCAGTGCACTCTTGAGACATCCCAACAGGTAGTATGGAGTATAGTTTGGTACTGTGTATTGTTCTCACAGGTAAGGATCAGAACAATCAAGAGACAACCCCTAGTAGAGGTGGTGAGGGACTGATCTATCTGTACAAATAAGGAGCTAGAGGAGGATGACTATATATTGCATGGGAACTGGCTGAGTCCTTGATAAAACACCCCATGAGAAAACTACTATCAGAAAGGATGGCCACTGGACAGCTTGACCTAGACCATCAAAAAGAGAAGGAATCAACAGGAGT